ATTCCTTTGCAGCTTGATATGCTTCAAGAAGAAAACGATGTTATTTTAGATAAGGTTAGCTTTTTTACCTTTCTACATTTAGAGAATAGATGCAAAAATAGCTTGTGCGACTTTGTGTTTTTCTGGATCATAATGGCTGATGTAACTTACAGCTACGTCATACAGAAGAACAACGTGAAGAAGCTGAAGCTAGGGTTCGTTTGTTGGAGAAACAGGTAATTCACCAATAGTAACTGGTCTGTTCCCGGGGACACTTTAAAATGTTAGGTTAATTATAAACACTAATAGAAGGGGTGAAGCTGATTGCTGTGCGAAAGCGGTTTCAGTCAGCTAATGATAATTACTCTATCTGGTCTTTACTCAGTGAGATATAGTTCCTTATGGCTTTAGCACAGGATTCTAGTTATTGAGGTCATGGTTTGTCTTCATTTAAATTTCTGGATTTAACAGTTGTATGAAGCTATTGCAATTCCTTATTTACAGGTTGCTTCTCTTGGAGAAGGACTATCACTTGAAGCCAAATTATTAAGCAGGTACAATTTGTAATGTTTTCTCCCCTTCCATATTTCTTCTTAATAAACATTGTCTGATGGTATGCATAATGACAACAGGAAGCAAGAAGCACTTCGCCAGAGAGAGGTAGCTTGCAGAACTGTGATTACAAGTAGTGAAGTCATACATGGTTACTCATCTGTGTCACTGATTCGTCAAAGACTGTTGCTTGTCAAACCCTTTTATTCTTTTAACTTCAGCTTACGTGTGTACCGTCTAGACAAGTCTAATGGAAATTATTATAATTATCATGCTTGCTTACTTAATGTTTATGCTTCTATTGCTTCTGGTCTGATGATACTGTTCTTCTCCTGCAATGTTATTATTGCAGGCTGCTCTTAAAGCTGCACAGCAAACAAAGGATGGAAGAGATGAAGAAATTACTATACTTCGTACTGAAATTGAAGTTAGTTCATGCTACTCTTAGGACTTACAACCCCTCCACAAAAAAAAAAAAAAAAAAA